TTCCCCCTCCCAAATAATACATTGTTCCTTTAGTTCTGGTAGGAAAGTTAAGAACCTTTAGTTCTGGTAGGAAAGTTAGGAGGGACCCCATTTAAAGAAAAAAAAGTGTGGAGTCCCCCCCAAAAGCCATACCAGACCCTTTAGGTCTGGCAGGAATTTTAGGAGGGGCCCCAAGTTACAATTTTAAAAAAGTGTGTGGGGTTCCCCCCCCAAAGTCATACAAGGCCCTTAAGATCTGGTAGGAATTTTAAGGAGGAACCCCACCCCAAATAATGGGTGGGGGGAAACGTGGGGTCCCGCTAAAATTTACCAACCAGACCCTTGATCCGAGCACAGACCTGGCAAAGCAGGAAAGGGGGGGGCGGGCGAGCACACCCCCCGCCATACCAGGCTACATGCCCTCGACAGTGGGAGGGTGCTCTTTCTAGTGTCGCCCCTGGCAAAGCACCTGGTCCCCGTGCCGATGGGGATAAGGGCCTCTTTCCCACAAGCCCTGGGTCATGGTTGTGGGGGTGCAGACAGGGGGGCTCATTCTCATCAGAGTACCCCATTAATAAAGAGGCACCCTGATGCGCCCCCCCATGTGAACGAGTAATGGGGGCTTGCACCCCTACCCATTCACTAAAGTGTTTAAATAAATTTAAATAAAAAGTCCAAACTTTTATTTTAAAAATCCTTTAAGTGAAATACAAACACAACAAAGGCTTTCGACAATTCCTTTATTGTTAAAGAAAATCTGGATCCACCGACGTAATCCTAAGGTCAATCAGGACGTCCAGCGTTGTCCACGACGACAACGACTGAACAAAGTAAAAAATAAAACAAGAAAAAATCAATAGAAATAATAATAATAGAAAATTATTGAGATGAACTCCCGCTGCAGAATGGCATTCTGACAGATGCCGGCAAAATATAAACAATTGGGTGTAGCTAGCGGTGACAGCTAGCTTGCTCCGCCCAATTGTTTACATTTGTCCGTCACCTGACAGGACTTAGCTGTGTGAGCTATGATTGAACAAAGTCATCATTACTTTGCCCAAATTATGGCTCTCACAGCTGTGATTGGGCTTCAGAACAGCCCGCCGAAAACCCTGATAGTTTGTGTGTTCGCCGAACTAGCGATGTTCGAGTCAAACTGCTGTTCGACTTGAACATTAAGCCCATCACTACTTGGTACCTCTAGGACTGGTGTTCTCCTCTTTATTCCAGCACTGTCAACCCTTCAGAGCTGGCAGATTAGTAGTTCTGGAACCTGTAAACTCATTGTTGGTATCTTGACTGATGGACTCACATAAATAACCTAAAGCCTGTTGGTTACAAGAAGGGGTCTTTAGTGTCCATAAGCCAAAATAAGGTTTTAATAATAACCATCCATGTCCTGAGCCACACCCCCAACGGCTCGAGGACAGCTCCAAAATTGACTATCATGACTTCCCAAAAGTCTGAGCCCCGCCAACGCCTGACACCAACAGAGGGAGCACCTTACGACCAGATGTGCCCCCCATGCTTTGCGGTTTTGGCAGATCCCAAAGGCCCCTTACCCTGCCAAGCTACCATGACAAACACATAGATCTCAAGTTTTCACACCTTCAACAACAGTGAACATGGGAGGGCTGGTGGGAAATACTTTTCCCTCATTGACCGTCCAGAAAGAACTCCCAGCAGTCTCCCCAGATATTACACCCTTGGCTTCTCCTTACAACCTGACCCATGACCTCCAGTCAGGTAAGGCATGCTACTTTTCCTAATCTGTAACCCTTCTCCAGGAACTATTCCTCCCCACAGTGATGTGGTTTCTCCACTTATTTCTCCAGGTCTGTCTTTTCTTGCAAGCTGTCATCGGATGTACTAGGTTTGTAGGCTGTGGTTCTCAAGATTGAAAGTAGATCTAAATGCAATCACTAAAAACCCATAGAATTTTAACATGGTAATGTAACTTTAAAACTTGATCCCACCATTAATTGCCTCCAAATTGAACTTTTGCATTGTCACCCAGTCACATGCAGCCATGGTGGAGACATTGGAGGAATTGCATAAAGACAGGCCCATTCTCTCCTCCTCTCTTTCTCTATTTCCCCTCTCTCCTTATCTCTTTCTCTCTATGTCTCTCTCGCTCAGCATTTTTTTTCTCACACTGATGCAGCAGCATTATTTCCTCCTGCTAACACGAATGCTACGACATTAATTCCTTCCAGTGACACAACCTAGGCAGGAACATCTTCTCCACATATTATTGCTGAGTCACTACTGTTACCACACTACAAGCCATATGTGACACTTACCTTGTTGTTCACAGCTCCAGGTGTGCCATTCTTCCTGATACCTTTAAGACATCTCTACGAACTTTACATGGATACCTTGGTGCCTCTTAGTTGAAATCTGTATGGTCTTTATAGCTTGCATCATGTTCCAAAAGTTTGTGACCAATTGTTCGATGACATGTTAAAAAATGGGGACATGATTTTATGAATGTGGCTACAAATGTAGGGGTTATGGATGTGTTTACAAGTGGGCATTGTCAGTAAGGTCTCCCCAGATTTCATTTTGAAAATCTGGTCAATCTGGTAGGAAGGGGTGGGGGGACTCTATATTAATGCTCATAGTGTTGGATTGGGATATCCAACAAACATATACTGTAGTTGTAATGGTCAGGTGTCAATAGATGTTGAGCCATATAGTGTGTCAAACGTAAAACTGTAATAAGGATGATAATTAAAACTAGATAAAGCAAAAGTGGTCTGTTGCTCATTTCGAGCAGTGCTTGGAATTCTTGTTTAATATTTTCATGCAATGAAAGTGGAAGCTTACATGCTTATCTACTTGCAACAGCTATGCTTGTGTTATTATTTTTTTTATTAATTAACTCTATTAACATTGTTAGTAAATTGGGCTGCACAAACTTTGGTTACAGTTTGACCCAGTATAGGTTTTATCCAAGGGCTGATTCCAATTCCTAGTTTGCATTTTTATTAATTTAATCAGTGATGAAAATACCAAGAATCTTTCATGTCTACATTATTATATATTTAATAAAAGAAAATACTGATATCATTTAATATGCTTTTATTAATCATAACATTTTAATGACTCATTCAAACCATCATTGATGAAAATACCAAGAAACATTCATGTTTACATTATTATATATTTAATAAGAGAAAATACTGATATGATTTAATGTGCTTTTATTAATCATAACATTTAAATGACTCATTAAAACAAAGGCAGGGCAGGTAAGGCAGCTTAGGTTATTCAACAGGCAGTACATTATTTAGTCTCAGCCCCATGAGGGATACTGTTGTTAAACTGGATGATGGCTGACACTTATAAGGGATCAGCATAAAAGGCAATTAGGAAGCTTTTATTTACAGACTGATTCAATAACGCAAAGAGCAGAGTGCACTAACCAACAACAACCAATCATCAATTTTTTTTTAGTATTGAAACATCTGATGATTCATAGCTTTATATTACTACACATAGTTGTTTGGCTCTGTTCCCTGCTTTATCAACTAAGTCCAGTAGCCAGGGTTATAGCTAGGGTGCACAAGTAAAATTGTCATGAAAGAAATCAGTACATGGGCATCCAATAAAGAATTTGAGGTGGAAATGGAACACTTTCAAATGTATGATAGTGCTAGTGAGCAGGAAGTTTAATTGTGATTCAGGAAAGCAAAGAGCAGAAAGACATCCTATGGAGAACAAATGCTACACATAAAGATGCCTAGTGTTTCTACGTTCTGAAAAAAATCCTACTTTCCTACTTTCAACGAGGAACAAGGCACATTTTGTAGGGCCGAGGTATATTTCCTAATCCGCTGCTCTCTGGCGTGATATCAATGTCCTTCGGATCCACTAATGACTTTGGAGTAAAGTTTTGGAGGATGGTGGTAAAGAAAATGAACAGCTCCATTTGGGCCAGACCCTCTCCAAGGCAGATACGCTTTCCTGGAAGAATGTTCAAGAACCATTGTGAAAAAGATCTTGCAATGTGCACATTCCACTTGGCCTATTCATTTCTCTTTGCCAAACAAAAAAGTAAACCTGTACTTTAAAAAATAAAAGTCCTGCCTAACACCAGATATCAACAGAGACCTCTATTACCTTTTTTAGCCATGGAAGCATCACCAGTTCCCCTTCTGTGGCAGTCCCATTTGGCAGTGGACTAGCCACTACTATCCTATAAGAGTTTCCTTAGTGGTCATGAAGGCAGCTTATTTGACAATGGCAAGGTAGTTGGCAGGTCGTAACCATGAAATCAGGTCTCAGGAGCAAAGTGATATTAAATCACAGAGGAGCTTGGGTGAGGTCTTACCATAAGCCATTCCACTGTCAAATGAGTGGTATCAGTGGCTAGTGAGCAAAACTTTATAAGAAAGATGGATAACCATTGTCAGAACATGGCCATGAGGTCAGGGAAACTCAGGCCCAGTAATGTTAAACTAAACTAAGCACATAAGGCTTTTTTTATTGCTAATAAAAAAAATGCAGGTATTACTGTGTATGCTTTTAGAAAAGTTTTTCATTTTTAAAAGTTTAAAATAGTTTCATTTTACAGGAATCTGGAGATAGGGTTTATATTCCTGAAAAATAGTTGCTCTATATTAACTTTGTGTTGCTGTTTGTTAATACATTATTTACCCTTTTTTTCTGCATCCATAAGCTGCTTTAAAACTTCCATGAGAAAGTCATGATACATTTTGATACAAACTAAACACAATAAAGTTGTTGTGTGTGTGTTTTTTTTGTTACTGTATGAAACAATGGCAATTTTCTGGGGTTTATTTTTAATTTGGCAATAAAAAGTTACTAGATACCTGCTGAAAATGCCATGAATGCCTCATTCTTCTTAAAGAGTTCATTTTCATCCAGGAAGTGTGTTGGGTCAAAAGAGTGTGGATTCCTGAACTTTGTGGGGTCATACTGTGATGTGCAAATCAGGGGCATGATGTTCAGACCCTGTAAATGAAGCATGTTATTATTTAAATATAAATGATAGTGTCAAAACAGAGCCAGAGATTTGCAGTTCTAGTCAGTCAGCCTTGTGATTCATATTCCCCTGCCCAGACAGCATAGGTAGGTGGATGACCTAATTTTTCTGTATTACAGTTTGGTCACCTCCTTACCTCTTGTATGGTAATTGAATACTAAATAAGCAGCAGCACACCGAGGATATCATCTCTTCACACTTTGTCCCCTCAGCAGTGTCTACCACACTAGACCATCTCTGTACCCCAGAGTTCCCAGTGTTTGCACTGGATTCTGTTGCTGTTCCTCCCACACTATCTAAATACTGGGCATCTCCCCCATCTCCACACTAATATCTAAGACAGCCCCCAACTCCCCCCCCCCAATGCATTTGTGTTTCAGTGTATTTCCCATTCTTTGCTCATCATTCCTCACAATTATTAATTTCTCTGTTATGTTGTCTCTGAATACAGTCTCCACTGTCCCCTGGTTGCAATTATGATGAAAAAACCCAAAGCAGAAATGAAATGCCACTTGAGTTTCCATAAATATGCAAGTGAAAAGCCTTGCCCCTTTCCACTAAGAGCTACCCCTAGTCAGAAGTGTGTCCTGGTGGAGGCAAACAGCTGTATCATGGTTTTACACATCAGGAAAAAAAGGGGTATGAACTGCCCTGGGAGGGAGTTAAGACAGTTCATGCATGACCCCTCCTCCTAGTTAATAATCATCATATTCTATGCCTCCTCTAGCTTCACTTTCAGCCCATGACCAGGTCCTCATTTGTATCCTCTTCCAGTGGAAAGCATTCAGCTGCTGCTCCTCTTTCCCTTCTATCACTGGGCAACATTAAGTTCTCTCCACTGTCCACAGCCAGCTCCCATTATACAGTACCTCATCTTTCCCCCTGCTCCAGAGTGGAGGTTAGCCCCACTCTACCTATTGTCCCAATGGTCCATAATCTTGCCTAGTCTCCACCATCCTGTCCATGTCACAGTCACACTGCCTCCATTCTTTTACTTTGCCTCAACCTTGTAAAGCTCATGTTTTGCCTCCTCTCTTTTTCCTCAGTCAGCTCCTTTGCCCTCTCTGTCTTTCCCAATGTTCCAAAACCTGTTGCCATCCTGCTTCCATTGTCTCTCCATACAAATGCAAGTTCAGCTGCCATTCTTTCTCCATTTTCTTTCTTTGTGGTCCATGATTAGCCCTTGCTCTGCCTCCCAGCCTCCCAGATAATCAGGTCCAACGCTAGCTCCTATACCCTACAGCTCTGTGATCAGGGCATTACTGCCACTAGATGACGCTGAGAAGCTGAGAAATATAGTGATATTTTAACCCCACCCTGCATTTCATTCATGTTATCAGCTCCCACTCTGCCTGGGAGCTGTCAGTGACAGATGAAAGGTGTCAGATGGATGATTCTCAATGGGGGGACGTTTATTAACATACTATATCCCCAGCATGGGACATAATGCTTGGGAACATTTACATTCAGATTGTGAGTGGGAAGGGGTTAAAGCCTGATCTTCCCACAACCTAACTTCCTAGCCTGACATGGTAATATGCCTAAACATAATAATTCCTAATTACATTCTAAGTTTTATTATTGAAGGTATAGTACTTACCTACTCTTATTTCTTCTTTTGTAGCTTTATATTACTATTGAGTTACAGGTGTGCTATTTTCCTCTCTTCCCTGCTGGTCCCCATTCTTCCCTTTGTACTATTTTTTCTTTATTATTTACTTAGTGGAATATGTGTTGTTAGCATTAAGTTCTCACCAAGTGTTTAGGTATTGAACACTTTGGATAAGATATATGACACATACTGTACCCTAACAGTTAAGCTAAAAAATATGATCACTTTCTTCTAATATAATAAGAATTTCTGAGCAGACAACAATGGAGACAAGCTAAAGACTGTTAGGATGTAGTAACCTGTAAGATTATTCATTATTTCAGAGTTCTACACTGCTATTAAAATAACCCTGTCCTTACCAGCAGGTACCTAAAAATAATCTTGCCTAGTCTCGGATAAGATATATGACACATACTGTACCCTAACACTTAAGCTAAAAAATATGATCACTTTCTTCTAATATAATAAGAATTTCTGAGCAGACAACAATGGAGACAAGCTAAAGACTGTTAGGATGTAGTAACCTGTAAGATTATTCATTATTTCAGAGTTCTACACTGCTATTAAATTAACCCTGTCCTTACCAGCAGGTACCTAAAAATTACATAATTGCATTCAGTGGCGTAACTAGAACCTTCAGGGCCCCGGTGCAAGAAACCATGACGGGCCCAGCAGATGCTGAGGTTGGCAAATTCGACTACGTCTGCGTTCTCGACAGAACACTGGTATCTGCATTTAGTATTGGGGCATTTTCACGAGTATGAGGACTCGTGAAAATGCCCAGTATTGGCACTGGTGTATCCCTACTTAAAAATATAATGCATTGCTAGTCCTACATAGTTGGTGATATTCTGTATTGCTGTATAATCATCATACCGCAATGCAGAATACCACCAGCTATGCGGGACTACAAGTCCCAGCAATACATTATCATAAAAGTCAGCTATGCAGAATACCAACATCATCCCCCCATTCCCACTTCAGATTTACCTTACCTCTCCTGCAGGGCCCTCTTCCGTGTCTCGGCGGCCAGGGGGCGGGGCTAAGTGGAGAGGGTCCTCACACAGCAGAATGTGCTGCCTGGCGGTGCCTGCAGCACATTCTACGGCACTATTGTGACAGCCTCTCCAGCCCTGTCGCGATTGCATGCTACTTTTATCATGGTGAGGCCAGCTCATGACCAGCTAATGGTACCCCAAATGGGAGCTGTTTCAGTTCCTGTCACTTTGTGGTGAGCAGTATTTAGTATTTGAAGTCGACACTATTCACTGAATCTCAAATAAAAAATAGCTTTTTGTTTTGAATGCTAAGGGGTGACTGAATAGTTATCAGATGTATTTATTGGTATTTATATAGCACCAGCATTTAACATAGGTGCACATTCACATCAGTCCCTGCCCTCAAAGAGCTTTACAATCTAATGTCCCCATGTCACATGTGTACATACAAGGGCCAATTCACCTACCAGCATGTCTTTGGAGTGTGGGAGGAAACACACACAAGCACAGCGAGAACATGCAAACTCCTTGCAGATAATGACTTGGCCGGGATTTTAACCAGGGACCCCTAGTGCTGCAAAGCAGAAATGCTAACTACTACACCACTGTGCTGCCCATCAGATGCAGCCACTTGACTGCTCTGTTCCTCTTGTTCTTTCTTACTTTTTAGGGTGGAAGGTACCGTGGGCAGCTTCATTGCTCAATATCTCTGTTAAAATGCGTGTACCCACCTGGTACTACATTGCCCACAATTCATTAGATGTTACACAAACATTCTTAGTATATTTTCTATTCCGGTTGAATGTAATATCAGGAAAATACCACATTATGGCCACTAGATGGAACCATTTATTTATTATGCTCCTGAGCAACACCTAGTGGCCACAATGTGGTACTTTTCAAATATTATATTGGACCTGAAAAGAAATATACTAAACACTTTAGTTTATGCCTATATTCGCACAGAATGAACATTCACAGAGATTCGCAGAGTGAATGGCCCTGTGAATTGTTTATAAACAGACCCCTATATTTATATAGTACTTGTTTATGCAAAATGTTGTAACTCACTGATGACGCAGAGATATTACCATTGTAAACTCACAAACCTGCCATATGCAATTACTGCATCTTTAATTTAAACCTTGTGAAAGGTGCATGACAGGTGGAATAATCCCATTACAAGTGTTTATGATAGCATTGGGTGTGATTGAAAAGAATATCTAAAGTACACACTGTTCTAATTCTCGGTTTACAGAGAAGTTTGCATGCCAAAGATTTCTCATATAATGATTTGGCACGAGATGGAAACCTAAGTGCTTTAAATCACTTGACAGTTTGCCCTGTTATATCACAATGTAAATACAGGGAATATGTGCAAACAAAGCACAGTCATCTGACATTCAAACCAAATATGTCTTTGTCTATCACAGTGTAACCTTTTTTTTTAAACATTATTATTATTATACAAGATTTATACAGTGCCAACAGTTTGCGCAGCGCTTTACAATATAAGGAAGACATAACAATCACAATACAATTCAAGGCAAGATTGTAAGGAGGGCCCTGCCCCTGAGGGCTTATAATCTAAAAGGGAGGGGCAACTTTATTGAACATTTATAAAATGTCATACTGTTCTGTTGGCTTCAGTGTGACTGCGTTCCACCATGCGGCATGCAGTACTTTTTGTTCAGCATATACAACCACGGCATGGTGGTGTGAACTGCGCCTTTGATAAACAAGGCAAGTTAGGAAAGGCTGCCCGGTGCAGCCCAACACAACTGCTGTGAATTGGCCCTTAAACAGATGAATCTGGAACTGATTGTATCTTTTATCAATCTAAAGCTTGACACACACCTTACAACCGTCGCAAGATTTTTGTCTTGCGATGGTTGTAAGGTAATTAAAAAAATGTACGATCTGCCCATCTTGGCAGTGTGCGCTTGCGCACACCGGCCCGTTCCACATTTATCTTACGAGCATGCCACACACCCGCCGACAATCATACGATTCTCGGCGGGTTTTCAAACAAGTTCCTAGGATAAAAGTCGTGCGACCGTACAGTAGAAACGGTCGCACTCCTTCAACACACCTTGCGATTATCATATGATCGCGGGATTTCCCGCGATTATCGTACGATAATCGCAAGGTGTGTGGGCACCTTTAAGCTGGCCATACAGTGTTAGATTTTTTTTTGTTCAGCCTGTGGGACAGTGTGGATGGACAGGGTAAATGGACGAACCTCCGGCTGTGGCTATTGTATTCTGCAGTGGGTGCCCACCACTGTCAGAATACATGAACAGCATGCAGCTGATTGGCTGCAGTCTCTGTTTAGCGGATAATTTTCTACCCAACTCCTTTTGATTTACAGATCGAAGGATGTTGGGCAGGAGGCTGCCAACAGGGACACCAACTGTGCTAATTTGCTCTGTGTATGGCCAGCTTTACATAATTTAAATATTTATTCAAGTCAATAGGTTGAACCAATCAGTAATGCTGTTTAGCAAACACTGTGGCTGTGTGTAAAGTCACTTTCACCCAGTTAGAATTGATTGAAGGGATGCCCCCTCACTGAAAGGGTTAACTGCTCATTTGTGTCTAGGTTAAAAAATAAAACGTTTTACTCACCCAAAGTTCCAAGCCGGCTTCTTCATAGACCGGTCTCTGGAATGTCTCTTCCTCCTCTTCTGCAGCAGTCTAAGGTCCAGTAAATCATCATGTCTATGCACTGTGCATAGATGTGAGGACGCTGGGGAACATTCCAATCTCCCTACAGAGGAGGGGACAGGCTGGAGGGAGTGCCATGACAGCTGGCTGATTTGGAGCTTTGGGTGAGTATAGCTTTGTTGTTTTAGCACCGGTCCTAGACACAAACAAGCACTTAACCTTTGCAGTGCAGGGGTTGTGCCACAGAAAACATTCCTGTAGTTTTTCTTTAAATACAGTTGTTTTTGGATGTAAATGGATTCTTAAAGAGGAACTTTACCCACCAAGTTAATGTTTCCCAAAACTATTATTTTTAAGGCATGCCAACTAGACATGTGCATGGCAAAAAAAATTGTTTTCGGACGAAACAAATGAAAACTAAAAACAAAGGAAACACATTTTAATGCTGTTTTGGCTCGTTGCCTCCAAATCCGAAACCGCACAATAAACTGCAGAATGAGCGGCGTGCATATATTGGAGTGTATCTTGGTGGTATACACCAAGATACAAGATGCCATCTTGGTGTATACCAAAATATACTCCAAAATGGCGGCGTGCATGTGCAGAACGCACCGGCGGCCAATGTGGCCGCCACTGGTTCAGCGTATGATGTCACCGTCATGTGACATCATACGCTCCACCTCCAAGATGGCGGCGGGCATGCGCAGAACAGTTCTGTAGACGAATTTATGTATATCCGAATATAGTTTTCCTATATTCGGGATTCTAATAAATGTGTTATTTCGTATTTGGACGAACCGTCGAATCTACTGATTTTTGTTGATTTGCACATGTTTAATGACAACTGTCAAGGTTGCCAGTATACTTATTTCAGCTCAAGCCCTTAAATGGTTGGGTCAAAGGTTGTCACATGTGCAACACCATAGCAACTGCAATCCAAACAGGCAGAGGGCATCTTCCTTGACTGTAATGGATAGTAGGTTGTAGTCTTGGTTTACATCAGAACTGAAGCCAAACATTTTTCTGTTTTTCATTTTGGATAGAATGGAGAAGCATTAAAGCCCCCATCAGGTCTTTGGTGTCTTTGTTAGGCAGGGACGTGCTCTCCATTTGTCCTAGTGACTGTTACTACCAAGAGTGGAACTGAATGAGTTGTCACTAGAACAGCAATAGAGTGGAAATCTTCCAATAGAGACACTAGTTCTGGTGACCCTGGTGACAACCAGTGATTTCTCTCACTTTGGAGGGATTTCCTATTACTTCCTGTTGTGGCTATTGGACAGAAAGTGAAGGAAAATCTCTCCCCAAATGAGAGAAAGATGACCAAAAAAAAACTGACAGGGGTTATAGTGCTCCCTTACTCTATCCCAAAAAACCCCCCCAAAAAACCCCAACTTTGTTCTTTAGTATTATTTTAATTCTGTCTTGCGATTTACACTGCTCTGTCACAGTGCATAGACAGGTAGTGTCACGTACCTGATGTGAGTCTGAGATGACGAGAAGGACTTTCCCTTGCAGCACTGGTCTGAGCGACCCTGAGAGTGGAACAGGGTGCCACTGGGTAGAGTTGCTGAAGACACTGGTGTGAAGCACCAGGCAGGTATTCAGTCAGAAGCATGCAGGATACCAGCTGAGTAGATAACTGGAGTCAGAGTCGAGCCGGGTCAGTAAATGGCAAGCTGTGCAGTGCAGAATTGAAAGGCAGAAGCTGGGTCAGGACAAGCCGAGGTCAAGCCGTGCAGGATAAGCGGTACTTAATCGTCAGAGGAGTGAAACAGGCCGAGGTCAGGGGCAGGAGGATCGCAGCAGAGTCAGAAGATAAAGCAGGGTCAGATACAGGAGCAATCAGGAATCAATGCTGGACACTAGCTGAGGAACTCCCAGCATTGGATGCATGCAGGATGCGAGTTTAAATAGGCAGTTTGCACGTACTGACACGCCAATCTGCTGCGTGCAGATTGGCACGTGAGTGTGTGCACGCCAATCTGCATGGGCAGCATTGCACACGAACGTGCACATCGGCGACCACACACATGTGCACAAATGTGAGCAATATTAGCACAAAAACGTCTCACGCGTGCATGCGCAGTGGCTCTACCTGATAGGTAGTTGAAAAACATATTTCTTGGTTCAGCAATGCAGCTTCCTACATCACTTCTTCTCCACCTCAAAAGATGAATCAACATCATCACCTCTGTTCAATTAGCAGAGAGAAGACCCATAATGCAGCTGTGGCAAAGTGTATGAGTCGCAAAACTGGCTGAAAATAGGTAAAACAATTGACATAAATGTAATATAATAATGCATCTAGTTTGTGTCTTATCTTCACTTAGTAGAAGCTGTCTTCACAGATCAGACGTCTAACATTATAATCAGTCTGGCTCTTCCAATAATGCCCTTTTCTTACAAAAATACCTCAGGCAAGTCATAGCCACGGAATGTGATGTCACGGGTCACAGTATGAGGGACGCTCATGGGCACTATGTCTGCAAATCTCAGGATTTCATAGATAACTGCTTCAGTGTAGGGCATCTGGCTGCGGTCATCCATGCATGGGCTTCTGTCTCGACCAATCACTCTGTCTATTTCCTCTTGAACTTTCTCTGGTGAGAAAACAGATTACTGAAACCTGCTTAAATCATAGATTACAAGTTCATTCCATGAGAGTGTTGGAATAAAAGTCACAGCATCTCTATAATAGCTATCATATAAGACAGGCCAGAGGCAGACCTAAATAACAGGACTAGGGCTGAGCTTTGGGTTCAGGTCTTCTATGAGTTCAACCCAAACTGTTCACAGTTCAATGTGCAATGATTTGGCTAGTTTAGCCACACACTGAACTCCCCCATATCCTAGCGGCTAATGACGCTGTGTGGCACGGACAGCATCATTGCTTGAGTGATTGGCTGAGCTGCACAGCATCATTGATTGCTAAAATGCTGGTGGCCTTGCATCATAATTTTCTGTCATGGTGTGTGTGCTTGTGTCCTAGCAACCAAGGATGCTGGTTAATCTCTTAGCAACTGATTACGTTTTGTGAGTCACACCGAGTCATTATTTGCTAGGATACAGACGGCCTGGGGTTCAGCTCGCTTGGACATTCACCCAGATTTCTGCTTTGGTTCAGCGAACATCCAAGTGAACTGAATCTAGGCACATTTGGCTCATTACTAGACAGGACAGGGCCTGCTTTTCTGTAAACTGTCCAGTGTTAACTGAGCATACACAGGACAAAATTTGAATATGTACTTCTATGTGAATGGTTGACCTTCAAGCACATAATGGCAGTGGCCAATTAGGGACTCTTCACTAAAGCAAAAGTCTTTTAGTTCATTTTATTTAGAAAGCAGCTTGTTCCCTGCCAGCATGGTGCAGAGAAGGACCCTTGCACTCTGTGTGGAGGCAGTGGTTACTTTGCAGTGGTTTGACACTATCTGCTGCGTTAGACCTATGGCTCTTCAATCAGCAAAGTTCCTGCTCCCTGCTGATTGGAAAGCTCATCCTCTGACTCAGCGAGGGGCATGGCATACCTCATCAGAGAGTCCACTGCTTTCATACAGAGAGCAATGATCCTTCTCTGCAGCATGCCTTTTGTAATCAGGCTGTGGCTGAGCTGAAATGAAATGTAAGGCATTGCACACCTTTTGTTCTGATGCACCTGGAATATATTTAGTGCATATATTTTGATGCACCTGGAATGTATTTGGCTAATTTGTTTTGATGCACCTGAAATATATTTACCTAATTTACCTAATTTAAACTGAAGGTTTGGTTGGGCATTTAGCCCTCATTCACACGGGAAACAGCCGTCCCGTACAGATCCGTGCTGCGTGCACGGCTGTATCCGGCAGCTCCTGGGAAAGACAGGTGTTGCGTGTAATTTGTACGCAGCAGCCTGTCCTTCTCTATGGGAGTACGCGGCCGCACTCCGCCCTATGCTTACCCGACCTGCATGTCCGTACTTGTGCGGGTGTCCCTGTTCAGACGCAGACAGGATCCAACTGCAAGCAACCCGGATCTGTACGGGCCAGCCTTTTTCGTGTGAATGAGGGCTAAAAGAAATTTATTTATACCTGTCTGATACCAGATTTTTTCTATGCTTTACAGCATTAATTCCTTACCTTTGTTTCAGACTAAGAAGAGAGCAATTTGCAGTGTTTAAATACCATAATTATAGTACAATACCTCTAACTTCTGGGTGCTTCAGCATGATCAGAAAACCATATCTCAAAGTAGATCCCACCGTTTCTGTGCCAGCAAAGAACACGTTCACTGTAGTTTTCAACATTGTCTCATAGTTGAAGTGGCTATTTGAGTTTTTCTTCTCCTAAAGAAACAAAATGATTTATTGGACCATTAGGGTATATCTATTCCCTCTCAGACAGTTGTCACCAGAACAGGTGTCCCCATTGGAAAATTTCCCCTCACCTCTTGTTTCTGTGATAACTGTTTGGGCTTCAGATATACCTTAGCATTGGCAAAATAAGACTTCAGCCTGTAAAAGGCACTACAGATGTCACTGCAGGCTAAAAGCAGCAGTGCTTATCTGTTTAACATTGTAATTATCAGATACAATTACTTTTATTGAAAAAGAGCATGGTTTTATTAAAACAGAATATCAAATAAAAGCCTTATAAAGCCTTATATGTAAGTATCCAGTGCTGGTGTTGTATCTTCGTCCTGCTCTCCACTCGTCCATATACAAAAGGCACAACCACAGGTAGTGTTTTTTGAATGGCGGAGTGTAGAAGGGGCAAAGACAGACACAAGCACTTATCTCTGCAGTGGGCTGGAAGTACAGCAGGAGTTGTACTATCCAGGAGAAGTAAAAGAAAACCTTTCAGGCTGTTAGAAGAAATCCTGCATCTACATTACTATAAAGCTAAGGTAAAGAGCTATACACAAATAATATTGCAGTGAAATTAAAATGCCCAGAGTTGGGATTTACCAAATACACATTTTACCTTTTACTTCACTGCACAATTGGCACCAATAATAGTTCAACACATGACCAGGAATGTTAGTAGTCATACTATAACATTTATGGCTTTGTTTGCTGTGTTCAGCAATTTATTTTCCAAGGATTATACCAAGTACATTGGAACTAAATATACACCTGTTCAATCTTTATGAGAAAGCAGTCAATGAGATCACGTGTATTGTTTGGGTCCAGTGTCTCTTTGTTCATCCGAAGTCTCTTAGCCACAAAGGCTCCAAGTTTCACGTAGTTTTTGTAAATCTTTTTGTGCGGGCCTGGAATATACTGCATGATTTTTGGAAACACGAAAAGTAGCTACAAGAAGAATGAAAGTTCGAGTGAGAGGGGACAAAAAATAAGCATGTTTTTTCTTTTAAATAAATTTTATTAAGTTAAAAGAAAACAAAGACAAAATACATTTCGTGTTCTAGGAGTATCAAGTAGCATGGAGAATATTTTTTTTAATAAGTAACTGTTGATTTGTCACCTTTGCTTTCTGTAATAGTGGTTATAGGCACAGAAAGATATTAATTAAGCGTCTATCAACAATCCTATTTCATTAAGTTAGGGTAGAAAATTATAGCTACCAGCTGACTGGATGAAACGGTCATTCCATGTACACGGTAGTCTAAACAGCATAATTTTCAACAAGCATTTACAATGCATTTTAAAAGCTTTCTTGAAGACCTTAATCACCATAGTGCTTGATTCTTCTAGTGCTCAATTCAGATCTTAAAAGGAGTAGATAGTTTAGAAACAATGATTTATATTACCATGTAAAAGAGATCAGCTTGATGCAAGTTCCAGCTCTTGGATGTTGCCTTTCAATTGTGCAAATCTCATTCATTCCCATGGAAAGACCATCTATTGTTGTGTCATCTAGACACAGGAATTAATGGAAAGTTTGTTTGCGTATAAATAGATGACTTCTGGACTGGCCAGGAGAGTTTCCAGCATTGGTTATGTGATTCACCATAATATGCCCGAATCCAATGGTATTACAAAAGGTAAAAAATACACTGGGCCCCCTCACTGATATGACTAGTCCCCTTCATCGCTTATCTTCTCCGCTTCGCCTGTTGCATCATGTACAATGCGGGACCAATAGGTCTACATTGTGTGTAAGAAGGTGAGGGCCCGCCCACATCTCAAAGAATCGGAGAATGGAGGAGAACACTGGCTGCCAGGGGAAAGAGGAATAAAGTAAGCATACTGTAGCTCATTGCTCCTCTACCCTAGAAAAAACAAGCAGTTAACCCCATGCAACTGCAGTTCAGCCCTTAAGAGCCTCAAGAAATGTTCTCATTGCTTCATAACTGCTTCATAATTGCTTGCTGAATGTGATGCTCTTTAGACTAATGCCAGTGTGTTATATACCACATTTTATATAATCCCATCAAACTACATCCTCACCTGGCCCCATGTGGAGCTCATAAGGTGCCAGCTGTTATTGATTAGATAAAGCAAATTCATAAATTCTTCATCTCTGTAGTCAAACCGGTCTCCAAACACCAAGGAGCAGATTATGTTAGAGCCAGCAGAGCTAAATCCAAAGGTAGGGTCAAAGGGTTTTCCTGAAAAGAAAGAGAAATGTATGAACATGGATTCACAACACAGTAATCTCTGAAACATGTTCTTCATATTATTCATAGTGTATTTCTACCTTTTTTTTGTTTTTGTTTTGGATAGAGTGACGAATTCTTAGACAACAACAACAGCAAAAACCCTGGCCCCCATTGGAAAATGTCCCCCTCACATCTTGTTCTATGAAATCTAAAAGATGTTTGACTTCCCATCATTCTTTACTCCAATCACAATAGTCTCAAAGTGGACCTTTACCGCCTTTCACTAAAAATCACATCAGCATACAGCTGTGCATGCTGATATGAAATCATTGTATTCACTAGTTAAACAAGCCTATTTTTATTTTACAATTTCTTTTTTTCTACTTCCAGGTCCACTTTGGCACAAAGGATGTAATCGTACTCAACCATTGCATCCTGGGAAGGTTACATCAGCTAAGCATTGCTGGGAAATCTCATGTCAGGGAAAGGCATTTTCCTCCCCTACTTGTTTTTGTCTAAGTTCAAAAAAGTTATGCTTTAACAGCTATAGGCAGATAAAGAAAATATCAATTCATGCTGATTTGTGGTCTTTAAAAATTATGCATTGTTAAATCTAGATATCACAGCGGTAGCAATCCTCAACACTCCAGCTGGAATTGAGCCGTGAAGAATTGCAGGACTCTGATAGGTGCACGCATGACTCCCAGGGGCAGATGGGATTGGAGTGCCATGATTGCCTTACCCCTTAGCTAGGGTACTGACATTTTGACTTGGTATCAGTTTCTGTTGTCCTCTTTACAATAAATTCCAAGTGGGAGAAGGAGGGGCAGCACTAGGGATTATTCAGGTGCAATGGATGCACATGAATTGAAGAGAAACATGCTGATAGGTGGAGAGAGCAGAATTGGCGGAGAGACAAGCTCATCAGTGCGCTGTTTCTTCTTCCCAGTCCAATCACATCACCTCCAAAGGGGCGGGGAGATGACCTAGCTTTATTGCTCTGACACTGTGCAGAAAAGTCAGGTCAACAGCCTGGCTCTGCTGTCTAAGAAAGCAAATTGCCAGCACAGCTAAAATTACAGATCTTCTAACTTACTAAGGTATGAGTTGCAATTAAACTGTGCAGAAATAAAAGAAAAAAAATTAAAACACCAATGTTTCACTGGACACCGTGACCTCCTTTCTCAATTTCCTGTCTGCTAAAGCTGTATAAATCTCAGAACTGTACAGACAGAAATACAAACTGTCATGTTACACATACATTGTGATATGCCCTTAAATATTATTTGTGTTATTAAGTATTTGTCTCCACCTGTCCCCATAGTTTAGTTTTCCTCTGTGTAGATACATCGTAGCTCCACCTTTCTTCATTATATTGCATTCTGCTTCTCGTCCACATTACCTTTGCTGAGTGGATCACATTATGATCTTTCGACCTATCCAATGTTCGCTGTTGTAAAGATCTGCACAGTTTAGATTACATTTCTCAACGATCTTTAAGGTGTCATAATGGATTGAGTCAACTGTCAGCAAACTCACTGAGATTGGGGTTATTGCTATCTTATCACAACTGTAAGTCTGAGGCTAGGTTCAGACCTGAGCAATAACCAGGCCCATGCAATTGTGTGCTAGTGCACACAGCGGTTGCTGCGCGGCACCATTGATTTCAATGGTTACATCTGCTTGGCAATCGCTAAAAAAAGGTACACGTACCTTTTTTGCGACACACGACGTGCAGCTTTTTTAGTGTTCAATTCCACGGTGTGACTGGGGTGCCATTAGAAAATAATGGCACCGCCAGCGCGATCGGGTGTGGTGGGCGACTCCATGCATGCCTGGCAATCGGCACGGTTTTGTGCACTATTGCCGCATGGTCACGGATCGCCCAGGTGTGAACCTAGCCTTAGGGATCACACTTTCAATGCTTAGACTGGGGAGGCAGAACACAAATCATTTGGCAGATGAAGCAGTGCCATTATTTGCATTTCAAATGTGCATTTAGCAGTTAACCTAGATTTCAGCTTTACATTTTAAAATGCAGTACTAAAACGTTGGTCACAAATGGTGACTAGATTAGGCAGCCCAGTTCAGATTTATTTTGCTCCACGTATTAGAGCCAGTAAAGGGTAAAAGCCATCCATATGTAAAAAGAGTTCCAGTCCCAGCATGGTTGGAAGACCATGGTGGTAATTGTATGAGCAGCTTTGCTGGAGGCAGAAACATGCTCTTGGCTACTTACCTTCACTTTTCCGGAACTCCGCTATTAGACACTGAGCCTCTTCTTTCACCCTTTCCTCCAGGCTTCTCTTCCCCATTCCGAAATTCTTCAAAGTATGGATAGCAAAGCGCCGAAGCTGCCTCCATCTTTCTCCTGTCCCGTACACAATCCCTAAAGACAGAGACATAATCATCAACTCTTGTGACGTTACAGATTTAAATTCTTGAAATTTAGAAATTAAAACTTTTTTTTACATGTATTCATGTTCAGAATTCAGAATGTTATGTTTGAAGGGAAACTAACAGGTCTATTCACAAAAGGCTGAAGAGTTTGGAGAAGACAGGAGAAGTGAACATTCTAGGCCAAAATAGCTGATTTGGAAAAATTCTGCAATTCAGTTCACTTCCCAGTTCAGCTATATTGTCCTAGCCTAGATTGTTCACTTCTCCGGGATTCTCCAAACTCTTCACCCTTTTGTGAATAACCCTGTAAGTACATTAACTTTGTTGTTTGCTTTGATTTAGAATGGGTTTCCATATACAAAGCACTAAAAATCTGACACCTTCCTTTCCAACATAAGGCAGCCAAACACTGTGATGGCTATTACCTGTGTGTTGTGGTGCTCTGAAAGGTATGTTTGTTTGGGTGCTTTCAAAAGGAAAATGGCACCCCCAACTCATCACGCATCATACACTACTGTGCGTTGGTGTAGTGTGCAATAAAACATGCATTTTACTAGACATGTGCACCAGCAAAAAATTAGTTTAGTTTAGTTTCGTTTTGAAAAAAAAAAAAAAAAATCAGTTTAGTTTAGTTTTGAAAAAAAAAAAAAAATTTGTTTAGTTTAGTTTCGTTTTTCGGGTTCGAAATTAAATTAGTTTCAGGCGAAATTCGTTTATGAAAAAAAAACCAAAAAAACTTTACTCTCCAATGGCTGGACTTGAACCAGCAAACTTCACAATGGCAATCACTTGCAAGCCTGTACCTCTATCCACTACTCTATAGCCTCTGTACTTTAAGTATTGAAGCATTTGATATATATGACTGCAATATGTAGCAAAAGGGTCTAGTATGGATTTTGGGGGGAACCCCACGCACTTCTTTGTGTTATAAGGAGGGGGGGGCCCTCCTAACATTCCTACCAGAGCTAAAGGGTCTGGTATGAATTGGGGCGTAACCTCACGCTTTTTTTTTTCATCTTCTGCAGACTGCCTGCAGGTTCCCCCCAATTCAAAAAAAAGCCTGAGGTTCCCCCCAATTCATACCAGACCCTTTAGGTCTGGTAGGAATGTTAGGAGAATGCCAATTCAAAAGCAAAGGAAAAAAAAAACCTTTAAATAATAGTTGACTTGGCCGGGATTTGAACCTAGGACGTTAGCAATGGTAATCCTGTGCTCTAACCTCTACACTATAGCCTCTGTACTTTAAGCATATATGTGTTGTAGAGGTAAAATGGTGAACAAATTTTGGGAAATCGGGAATTTCGGATTCGTTTGCATTCGTCTTAGCTGTAATTCGGAATTCGGATGCATCCGAATCTCCGAATTTCCGAAAATTCGTCCAAAACGAATTTCGGAACGAACCGAATCGCACATGTCTACATTTTACTATTTAATATTATATTACTACAATTTACAGGTGTGAAGTCAGCCTTGAAGTAAAGCATCTATAGTATTATATACACCTGCATAGCATATAAAGAGAGTGACAGTTTACTGGCTTGTTCTTAGGATATCATCAACTGGGGAAATCTACCCTAAGTACCTTCCTTTCCTGACCCCCAGCTGACTAAATAGGCACTCCCATTGCAAGCCTGATTTGAACTTTCAATGGGCAAGTATGAAAGCAGATTTCATATAACAATATTGAATGAAAACTACTTTTAAAGCTTTTGAAAGCACTCATGAATAAACTAAAGGGAGTTTTGGTGCATGTTCATGCCCTTTGAACCTGTCTCACTTACCATTTCCTTTGCTGTATTGTTGGACTGCTGGAAATTCTCCCCTCCCGCTAAATTCTTCAGCATGGTCTATTAGCGCTTCCTTTAAAATCTCATATCCGCACATCACCACGGTGGGGCGAGAACCGAGATATAATGTGTACATGGGTCCATACTTTTTACTTAGCTTTTTAAAAAAAACAATGAAATGCAGTCAGCAATACAAACAGTAAGTTCTCTACTATTTTTTCACGGTAGCAATACTGAAAGCTATATCTTGTTTATGGACAGGCGACATTTACAAGGTTCTGCATTGCAGGATCATAATCTTGTGCCTTTTGTATGGCAATACCATTTGACATTGCTTATGCATGAATAAATTTTTAAGGCCTGATTCACTAACGCAAACACGCGCACATTTGGAGTGCGTGTGCGCATACACGTGCAACAGTATTTAAGAAGCGAAAACAAGCATGCTGAGAAGCCCATTCACACCAAGGCGGTTGTGGATCAGTGTGGTTACCGCGTTGATCTCAAAAGGGAGGTTTAGGGAGTTTTTAATTGCGTTTCAGCGCTGAAATGCAATTAAAAATGCCCAAAACCGAGCTGATCAACACGGTTCCATTGAAAGCTGTATGGAAAAAGCGCTGATCGGCGCGGCAAAAATAGTGCAGGGAGCAGTTCGGGCTGGGGGCGGTTCGGATCGAAGGGACCCGCGTGGTTGCATGAACGGTCTCCATAGCAATGTATGGGATCATTTATGTCGGCTGATCCGTGCGGCTGAACCGCCCCGGTGTGAACAGGGTCTGAAATGGGAGTCGTGTAGCTATTTATTTACGTACTTGCGCGTAGTTTTGCATGCGCTTTTAGCTATACGAATGCAAATAGTGGTGTGAGAAATTTAAAAGGAGTGTTTAGCATGCAATCACATATGGGAAGCTTACACCAACAATAGGAATACATTGGAATTGTAACCCTTTTTCCCAAAAAGTTTAAAAAAGCACCCTGAATATAGTAAAAACTAATTTTAAAACACTTTACCAGACAAAGCACTGGCGTGTGGCAATCTAGAGAAGCGCATGTGTGCGCTCCCGTTCACATGCTTTTCAACTTATTCAACACGATCACACCGTGATAGCACGATTTCGTACTAAATAGGGTAAATAGGCGCATCAAATGCATACGCTTAAGTGGCGTATACATGTAAATCCTCATGTTTTTGTTCCAAAGTTTAATACTGTCCAATATATACACTGTATGCACTATTTTCATATTCCTGATTCTATTTATGTTCAAAATACAACTGACTTTACAATAACAAAGGGAAAAGAATAAAAATGTCCCTACACAATTTTTATGTATCACAAAGATTTATACACAAATGAAATCTTACACATCTACATTATTATTGTAATTTATACAGCGCTGACAATTTACACAGTACTTTACATAGTTGCACATTCACATTGGTCCCTTACAATCTAAGGTCCCTATCTCACATACATAGAGGGCCAACATGGAGAGTAGCCAATTAACCTCCCAGCATGTTTTTGGAGTGTGGGAGGAAATGAGAGTACCTGGAGGAAACCCACACAAGCACAGAGAGAACATGCAAACTCCTTCCAGATAGTGATCTGGCTAGGTTTTGAACTAGGGACCCCCAATGCTGCAAGGCAGAAGCGCTAACCACTATGCCACTGCACTCCTGCATTGTCCAACAGGAGCACATGGTCACGTTTCTACAGAGGGCCAGTTTACAACATCACCATGCAATTCATGCACGGCATTGCACAACACACCTACCATGTGACAACAATGTGGGAAATTCTTTCTGCAGCCATTCATTCAAATGACATGCACTGCTGACACTTGTAGTTCCCTCACACACAGCACACCAGGATTAACGTGTATTGGACAGGAACTGCTGACACTTGTAGTGCCCTCACACAAGTCGCCCTCACACGGTTCATGGCAAAGAGAAACTGGTGGTGAGCTGTTTTTAGGCCATGGGACTCTGACCTAAATAAAGATGTGGGCAATTATTGGGAGTTTTTTAATTAAAAAAACATGCATAGGGAATAAATGCAAACCCCAGTTAGATGGTGTTTTAGACAGGGTACGAACCGAGGATTTTTAATGCTGCAAGGCAATAGTGCTAACCACTAAGCTACTGGGAAGCTCTAGGTGTCTTAATATCATGCATCTTAGAACAGCATAGCATAGCCTACAGAGTATTATTCACTATATAAAATTACTTTTAAAAAGGAAGCAGTTGAAAAAAACCAAACACATGGCAAAATTGAAGAACAATACCATGTCCAATAGAATCATCCAGCATCATTTCTTTTTTAAATCCCCAAGCAATTTCTTTATTATTATGTACAGGTGAAACTCGAATAATTAGAATATCGTGCAAAGTTCATTTATTTCACTAATGCAACTTAAAAGGTGAAACTAATATATGAGATAGACTCATTACATGCAAAGCAAGATAATTCAAGCCGTGATTTGTCATAATTGTGATGATTATGGCTTACAGCTCATGAAAACCCCAAGAACCCCAAATCCACAACCTCAAAAAAGTAGATTATTACATGCAATCAATAAAACAAGGATTGTACATAGAACAATATCGGACCTCTGAAAAGTACAAGCATGCATATGTACTCAGTACTTGGTTTGGGCCCCTTTTGCAGCACTTACTGCAATTACTTTTGCACGATATTCTAATTATTCGAGTTTCACCTGTATATAGTACAGGACATTTTTGGTGTGCTTTAGCATAATACACATCATTCTGTGCCTTTGGAGAGAATTACAATCTAAGGTTTTTATTTCATTTTACAAGCACGCAGGGCCAATTTACCTTCCAAAATGTCTTTGGAGTGTAGGGGGAAACACATGTAAGCACATAGCTCCTTGCACATAGTGCCCTAGGCAGGATTTGTACCAGGGACTCAGGTGCTGCAAGGCAGAAGTGCGAACCCCTAAGCCACTGGCTTGCTCTGAGGGCAATAAGGTCATGGAACTTGGAATGGCATATAGCTCCAGAGTATAATCAACTAAATAAAAATTACTTTGATAAAGGAAGCTGTTGAAAAGCAAATGGCAGAAATACTACAACAAGCAAGATATATCTCTTTCCACAATCCTATATGCGGGTCTTTGAAGTGTGGGAGGAAACAAGAAAACCTAGATAGCTGCCTGGGATTTGAACCATGGACTCAGGTGCAGCAGGGCTGCAACTCTAACCCCTAAGCCATTGGGCTGCCACAAGGGTGTTAGGATCATGTATGTTAGGATCATGCATGTTAGAATAGAATAGAATAGAATAGAATAGAATAGAATAGAATAGCATAGCCTATAGGATATTATAAACTCCTTAAAAGTGACTTTAAAAGGAAGCAGTTGAAAATCAAATGGCAGATAGGCTACAGTGAGCAAGATATTTCCTTTTCTACAATCCCATACAATACTATCTAACATCATGCAGCAATCCTTAAAAATATACAAAAAAGGATTTCCTAACATGTTCATGCTAAGGGGGTGCTCGTGTGTGTTTTCAGCCTTTACGAACGTGTGCATTTCTAACTTGGCCATTGATTCACGCCTATTAGTATGCTATCACTCCATACGAATACGCAAGTGGTTACGCATCCAGACATGTTTTTTCTTGGCATGTTCGTGGCATGTGTGTCAGGTTAGTAAACCACTAACTATGTCGTCACTATGTCGCCCAGAAGAAGGGACCCTGCGTGGCCCCGAAATGTTGGCTGTTTGATGCATGTGAGGATTGAATAAAAAGTGCTTTACTTTTTGCACATATCATCGAGTGCTGGTGACTTCTATTATGGACTGTATCTGATACGGCACCATCCGTGTTGTCACTTCAAGCACCAACCTCTTACTCAAGGTCTATACACTGTATGGAGTGCAGGTGATTTCGTATTATAGGTTAGTAAACCAGGCCCTTAAAGGAGAATTATGAGGTGAGTGCTTTGCACTCAGCCTCATAATCTGAGCCGACCTGTGACAATGAAACTGGTCGGGAATTGAGCGAACACATACCGGCGCTCGCTCACTTTTCGATCTATCCCGCAGGTGAGCCGTGACAGGGGAGTGACTGGATTCCCCCCCTCCCCTGTCCGATCCTCCAGCGCTGACTGGTGGAACGAACGGGGGAGGGGGCAGGTACAGCTGGCTCTGCCTCTAGATAGGCAGAGCCAGCTGTCACTCACGCAGCTGGGCGGATCCAGACATAATTGTCAGGATCCGTTTCAGCTGTGGTGTCTCAGTATACCACGAGCTCCAGCTGAGCTTTGGGTGACGGGAGGACGCTAGTTTGTGTCCTCCCGTTACCCTTCGGAGAACTATGGGGAAAAGCACTAACCCCATAGTTCTCCTTTAATGTCATTGATGACTGGTTAAAGAATACCTAAATCCATACCTAAACTTTAGCAAGTGCACTTTGCCACATGGAGACATTTTGCCGAAATCTCCTGATTTTGATGAGGCTTCAGGGAAATGAAAATGCTTTTTTTTTGTTTTTTTCTTTTAATCTCCCGCCGGTTCCGCCCCCGTGCGAAACGTACGCTTGCAAGGGACGGAACCTGGAAGACAGATGCAGGCGCCGGCCGGAGGATACCGCGCGGCTCGAGGGACAAGGTAAGTAAATACTATGGGATATTCCAGAGTGTAGCTCAGGGTATGGAGAAGTAACCCCGAGCTACACTCGGGAATATCGCCAAGGAGGTTAATAAGTCAGTGATAACAAAAACTGCACTTTAAGATAAAAGTTAACATTGCACCCCCCTCAAGCCTGGTCTGTGCATGTACAAACTCAATAGTAAAACAGCAACGGTGTGGTACAGAAATCAACATACTTTTTATCTTTAAGAGCAAACCTAGTCAATGTGTAAAACCAATCAGTGAATTGCAATAGGCAATTAACTAAGCAAAAGGGGTTCCCAAATCAGCGTATTACTATCAGAATGGTGAATTTGTGCACTATCACTATGTCTGGATCAAAGAGCGAACTCCTAGATATGTAGGCTTTACAATCTGTATGCATCTCAAGGCATCAATTTAAATATTTACTAAGATCCAACCTTCAAATGTACCTATTTGTAATTGATAGGTTTCTACAATTATTTAATATGTATCCTTCATAAAATCTCTTGATTATTT